TTCTTTTTTCTTCAAATATTTAGAGATTTCAATATAGATAATATATAAACCAAAATTATTGTTCAAATACTCAAAATATAGGAAAACATAGGTGATTAATATAATAAATAACGTGATTTTGTGGGGGGAAACAAGCACGGGAGACGGAGGGCTCGTTAATTGTCTTGGAGATGAATTGGGAAAATTATTTGGATTGAAAGGATATTTGTGTCTTTTCATGATAAGGTTATTTTAGACATTTTATACTCTTTATTTATTGATTTTTTTAATTGATGCCATTTGACAAACAAACATTGGGAAGAACCTTTTTATCCAATAACAATGTTTGACTGGGTGTTTTAACAAAGACTCCCCAATTAAATTGTGCATTAAGACATGGCCTACTAAGAAGAACATGAGAAGTTATTACTTATAAAGCCCTATTTCCTAATTGTACTATTTGGTCAGAGTCTTTAGGGTGTGTTTGAGTCATATTATTTTGGAAGAATGTATTTTAGAATAATAGATTGATGGAGAATGTATGGTTGAAAAAGAAGGAAAAGTTATTGATGTGATGAAAAATATTATTTTATTGAAAAATGTATTGTTGAAAATGAGTAGAATAATGAAAATGAGAATTTTAATGTGGTTCGAATGGGGGCTTAATTTCAATCTTCCATTTTGTAGGCATGTATTTGACTATTTGAGGGAAGAAACATCGTCGAACTCCGATAGCTGGTGTACAACAAGAATACATTATGGGCCGTGTCATGTTTCTTGTTCCTTAATTTGATTAGAGTTCGATGATACTTTCTTAATCAAATAACCAGACACGCGTCTACAAAAACGAAAATTGAATACTTTATGGGCCGTTAAAATATGTAACTTTAACTTATTTTTAACAGGGAAATAGTAATTATGTCAAAAAATTGTTTATTTTTAAGTAATTTTTTAAACTTAAATCATATTTGAAAAGACTTCGTAAACTAGATATTTTAATACTCATTTACGGGAGATTTTTTCAAATTAAAATAATCTTTGTAGAGGATATAAATAAAAAAATTATGTAGATTGGGATTGAAAATAATTTTGAAAAAATCTCTCAAAAATAAGGCCTTGACTTTGTAAATTGCCACCTTGAGAAACGGTCCACTGCCGAAAATAGAAGAAAAATGAAAGTGTCCATTTGATGAAAGAAATAGTCCACTTTCACCGAGTCGAAGACGAATTCATGTATGTATACGTATATACATACACGTATCAAACGCGGTTAGTTTAGAGAGAGGGTGAGAGCTAGATAGAGCGAGAGGCACCCTCTACGGAGACCCCCATTGGATTTGTGTACAGCTTCACCCCATGTCGCCGACGATTTGCTAATCTGATTCCCCGGGTATCTTTTCCCTCTCCTTACGTATTTATCTGTATTTTTTTTTAAAAGTCTGATTTGGTGTTCATTCACCGTAGATGTAGATGTATAGAATGTGATTAATTGGTATGGAATCGTTTTTTATTTTTTATTTTTTATTTTTGCAGAGATGAACATCTAGGGTTCCGTATTGGTGATATTTATAAGCGTATACGCATATTTACAGGATTATAAAGAGAGTGANTTTATTTTTTTTAATTTTTGCAGAGATGAACATCTAGGGTTCCGTATTGGTGATATTTATAAGCGTATACGCACTTTTACAGGATTATAAAGAGAGTGAAGATGGCAGCTCCACCAGCCAGGGCTAGAGCCGATTACGATTATTTGATTAAACTGCTTCTCATTGGTGACAGCGGTTTGTATCTGCTGTCTTTTTTCTTATATATAATTTTGTGAGATTTATTGGATCGTATGATTGCCAATCACGGGTACATTTGATTGTGTATGTGGATATTATTATGATCTGTGGACATGTCTGCTTTTACTGAATTTATTTCTGTAAGGCATTGAGATCTTTTATGAGGTAGAGCTTTGTGACATATAGCAGATTAAAGTTTCTAAGTAGTTGTGCAACTTGTGCAAATGCTTGATTTTAGATTTTATTGTCAATTTTTAGATGCATTTTTCATTGATTCAACCTTTTCATAGCAACTCTGTAGAACAGAATGCTTTATTCAATAACTCTTGAAGGGTCGATCTTTTGGCTGCATATTCCAGTTGAGGGAAATATTAGAACTTACAGTGGTGTTTCTTGGAAAAATATAAAAAATCATGTCATGATTTCAGATTTTAAATTTCATGGCCTGAGCTACATTATTTTAACTGTTAACGACCTTCTATCTCATTAAGGTTCTGACTTCTCGTTGCTTTTCATTATACAAAAGTTTGTTGTAAAGTTAATATACATGCTTGCCGTCACCAAAAATTCAAGGGATGTAATCCTACACTGTACTGATACTGGGATTTATATTTAGATGCACTGGCTTTGTCATCCCTGTCATCTACCTAAAATAGAACAAAATGTAAATTAGAGACAATAGAGAAGCAACTGTTTTATACATCTCAGAAAATGGAATAATGAACAGAAAATGGCATTTTTGCTGCGGCCCAGAAAAATAAATAGAAAAAGGAAAACTGACATGTTTTCACGTGGCAACTCATACTGGAAAAGTTTCCATTATAGGGAAACAGTATTATTATTAACATGTGACTTACATTTTTGCCTGTTGTCATGAATTCTTTGAACAATGTTCTATTTATGGCCTTCTATTTCATGTAACTGGTCCTTTTAGAACAGTGCACTCGTATATAACAATGCACACACATTTGTACTTCCTTGGAACCAATTTGAATAATTTTTCACGTTCTCAAAATCCACCCAGCAATCAATCGAAACAATTTTTTTCTATTAAATTGTTTTTCACTTCTAGTTATGAAGACCTGTTCACCCCATTTCTTTATCTCCTACTTAGATGTTATACACAGTCTATGTTGTGTTAATTTGATTTAGTTTGTGACCATTGGATATAGTTTTTCATTCTGAAGATTGCACATATTTGCAATTCTTTCTCTGTTCTTGAAAGTAATTATATATACTTTTCTGCTGCATTTGCACAAGGTCATGATGTCATTATTGCTTTCTGATCACTGAATCCTTTGATTAAGTGTGCCAAAGTTTGCCAACATCAGCCCTTCCTGTTTCATGCCTCTTTGACTTGCAGGAGTGCAAGAATTTCTTGATACTCGCCTCTGGTTCTTTATGCTCACGTTGCTAACTACTTGTTAATTTGTATGGAATTTTGGAAGTGTTTATGCAAACCATGCAGCATGTTGGTTCTTCATACCTCAGCTGACAATTGTATGATTAATTAAATTGTTTGGTGTAGCTATAAACTTCAATCTTGCACTCATTTTTTTTACAGGTGTGGGCAAGAGTTGTTTGCTTCTGCGTTTTTCGGATGGTTCCTTTACAACAAGTTTCATTACCACTATCGGGTTCGTAGTTTTGAGACATCAATTGAAATGAACTGTCATTATCTAGAATGTCAGGAGTTAGCAATAGCTGATGCCAATATTTGCATTGCTTCTATTCCAAATTTCTCCATTAAGTAGTCAATAGGACACACGCTATAAGGAATTTCAGTAGATCAGTTCTGCATATTTTTCTCATGTGAATTCTTTTACTTGTTCAGGTTTATATAAGCAAAAAAACCATTGGATTGTTTACCATCTGCCATTAGGGGGACAAAATGTGATAGAAGGACGTTTGGAATACATTGTCATTAATACCCAGATATACTGATAACAGTCTAGAAAAGTTTCAGATTAATTATATTGTTGTCGGATTTATGAGGCCTGATAATATTTCAACATACGGACTGCATAAACCAAGCTCTCTGATGTAATCGGCATAAGATATCCATTTCTTTGATTTTTCTATTTTTCAATATTTTATAGTGATGTTTATTGTGCAGCATTGATTTTAAGATAAGAACT